TGATGATGATGATGATGATGATGATGATGATGATGATGATGATGATGATGATGATGATGATGATGATGATGATGATGATGATGATGATGATGATGATGATGATGATGATGATGATGATGATGATGATGATGATGATGATGATGATGATGATGATGATGATGATGATGATGATGATGATGATGATGATGATGATGATTGATGATGATGATGATGATGATGATGATGATGATGATGATGATGATGATGATGATGATGATGATGATGATGATGATGATGATGATGATGATGATGATGATGATGATGATGATGATGATGATGATGATGATGATGATGATGATGATGATGATGATGATGATGATGATGATGATGATGATGATGATGATGATGATGATGATGATGATGATGATGATGATGATGATGATGATGATGATGATGATGATGATGATGATGATGATGATGATGATGATGATGATGATGATGATGATGATGATGATGATGATGATGATGATGATGATGATGATGATGATGATGATGATGATGATGATGATGATGATGATGATGATGATGATGATGATGATGATGATGATGATGATGATGATGATGATGATGATGATGATGATGATGATGATGATGATGATGATGATGATGATGATGATGATGATGATGATGATGATGATGATGATGATGATGATGATGATGATGATGATGATGATGATGATGATGATGATGATGATGATGATGATGATGATGATGATGATGATGATGATGATGATGATGATGATGATGATGATGATGATGATGATGATGATGATGATGATGATGATGATGATGATGATGATGATGATGTGATGATGATGATGATGATGATGATGATGATGATGATGATGATGATGATGATGATGATGATGATGATGATGATGATGATGATGATGATGATGATGATGATGATGATGATGATGATGATGATGATGATGATGATGATGATGATGATGATGATGATGATGATGATGATGATGATGATGATGATGATGATGATGATGATGATGATGATGATGATGATGATGATGATGATGATGATGATGATGATGATGATGATGATGATGATGATGATGATGATGATGATGATGATGATGATGATGATGATGATGATGATGATGATGATGATGATGATGATGATGATGATGATGATGATGATGATGATGATGATGATGATGATGATGATGATGATGATGATGATGATGATGATGATGAGGATGATGATGATGATGATGATGATGATGATGTGATGATGATGATGATGATGATGATGATGATGATGATGATGATGATGATGATGATGATGATGATGATGATGATGATGATGATGATGATGATGATGATGATGATGATGATGATGATGATGATGATGATGATGATGATGATGATGATGATGATGATGATGATGATGATGATGATGATGATGATGATGATGATGATGATGATGATGATGATGATGATGATGATGATGATGATGATGATGATGATGATGATGATGTGATGATGATGATGATGATGATGATGATGATGATGATGATGATGATGATGATGATGATGATGATGATGATGATGATGATGATGATGATGATGATGATGATGATGATGATGATGATGATGATGATGATGATGATGATGATGATGATGATGATGATGATGATGATGATGATGATGATGATGATGATGATGATGATGATGATGATGATGATGATGATGATGATGATGATGATGATGATGATGATGATGATGATGATGATGATGATGATGATGATGATGATGATGATGATGATGATGATGAGAACTGAGAACTGAGAACTGGTGCGAAGCAGCGAGTAGAGGTTGCTCTGTGTAGCTGCATCATTCGTCGTTTTCGGACATGAACTTTTTATTTATCGTTTCGCTCTTTGTACTTTGCCTCTGCAAATTGTTTGTCTAGTAGCATCTTGAATTTAGCCACTGTGTTCGCTTCTACTATATGCTGAGGCAGGTCGTTCCAGACATTCACCACTCTGCGTTCGAAACAGAGTTGATGGGCGACCCGCTTCAAATCCGGGACGATAAGTTTATACCGGTGTCCTCGCGTGCAGCTTGGTGTGCGCAGATGAAGTAGTTGTCTCAACATGGGGTAATCACCCAGATGTAATATCCGGTGCGTCATGATGAGGTCAACCCTCAGCCGACGATAAGATAGGGTGTATAACCCTAGTTTCTTACATCGGTCTTCGTATGGCATACCTCGTAAGTTGGGAATCAGCCTAGTGGCTACATGCTGCACCCGCTCAAGCTTTTCTACTTCGCCCCGGGTGATGGGACAGTATGCGGGAGTGCCGTACTCTAGCATTGGTCGTATTATCGAGACGAAGAGGCGAGTGGCAATCTCTTCGGACCAAGTGCTAAAGCTGCGCCTGAGAGCCCAAAGCATACGAAGGCTGTTTTGGTACAGCCTATTCGTGTTGTCAATGGACTT